TTTTCACTGTCACTGTTAGGTCTTCTACATATTTCCCCTTTACAACTCCTCCTCACTCCATTGTTTGCTTCAGTATATTTGGCAAGTGTCTTGACTTCCTCTGCTTCTCTGTTTCGGCTGTTGTTTGACTAAGTCTTGTTGCGCTTCTTTTGTTGAATCCTATCCAGTGTATCAACAGAGATCCATTCCTTTTGATGGTGTTTCTCGTGGCCCAGAAACTTATGACTTGCTGTAGCCAGTGCTACTATAACCTCTTTCCAGTTGTTCTGCATGATAGGTTTCTCTCTACTGAGCAGATAATGAAAGAAATAGAACTTACCTCTGAGAGCTGTTTTGAATTGATCAAGTTTGCCGGTATTACAGAAGAAAGTCCGTAATAAACTTTTGTGATGCCGTTCGACCAACTGTCCAGTGCTTCTTGATTTTCAGTATCATCTTGGCCACAACAAGGTGGTGATGTGAAGCTATGTTGGCTCCTCTCTTTGTTCTCACGTCCTCCATGGTCTATATGAACTTTGTATTGATGCAGATGTGATCCGATGCAGCCTGTGTAGCTTTACGTATGCGTCTGTGTGAGGATATGGTACCTATTATTTGTTGTTGTAGTTGTGAGAAGATTCATCGGCCTCAAAACTGCTGAAGAAAATCTGATTTCATCGTGATACTTCATAATGTTTCTAAATGAAGACCTTCCAACTCACAGGGAAGAGTCTTAACGCTTTGGATTACTTTTTCTGGTTGGCGAATTTTTACCGAGTTCTTTTCACTAGGTGGTGTTTCAAACGTGATCCCGAACCCCCCTTCTTTATTTGAGCTTTGGATCGACAGTATCCAAAGCAGGGCTCCAGTCTTCAACAGGCGTACTCACTCAAAACTTTTGATACAAAAATAACGACCAAAATGGTCAGAGTTAGTGCAGTCTTTTATCGAATGCTGTCTAGGATCTGGAATTGTAACAAAACAAGAAACAAACTCATTAGCCAATCACAAAGTTATTGGGTAGTGAATTTCGGATTGTCACTATGCAGAATCATTGCTATACTTTTCGTCAGTAATAAATTCAAACTAGAGGAATGTGGTAATCAAAAGAACAAAAGTGATATTTTCAAAATAATATACAGAGAAGTGTTATTTCACTGATTAAAACAGCATCAGTAATACATATCGCCTATCACGCAGAAATACTATCGCGATGTCACCGCAAACTTTAGTTGATACATGAAACTCATTAGTTTGTTATAAAAATTGATGTCATTTATTGGAATAGCATTCAACTGATATGCTTGTTGAGAGAGTCATGTTTTACTGCTAGTAATGATTGACTATGCAGAATCAAAATAACACTGAAACAACTATGATTTAAGTTTATTATTGACATTATCTGTTATGTTTTACGACCCGGAGCCGGACCCGGATCCTTAGTTCGCGATCCTGATTTTCTCCTGGACTCGGACCTCGTGCTTTCTGGATGCTTGTAGAATACAGGTTCTACTTCATATCAAGTCTTCTTTTTTTATTCAACGGGGGTTGGGACACTCCGATTAGAGTAGCATGTTGTGTCGCCAGATCCTTCAAACTCGCTCTCATTTCTGACTAAGGTAAACTCGTAATAGTTCAAGCATATCAAAATGACATGTTTACGTACGTGCGCAACATCTACAAACTAAAGATTCAGATGATTTTAGAAATGATATAAGCGGCCGTAACTGCTGTCTAAAGATGGATATACTGGCCAGTGATTTTCACAGTGATTATCTTGATGTGGTGGATGCTACTAACAACGCGGTAAATAAGTAATGTGCAGTGCAGCGCCTCTTATAAGTTATTACTAGAGAGAAGTATCTGGAGATCAAAATGTATGGTGTAATCAGAGTATATTGATGACCCGAAGAGATGTGAAAGAAGACAATTAATAATCTGCTTGTATATCAATTGGATATCTGAAGATCAGGTATACATAATTCGTCAAAAAAACTTTGTTCTTCATTTGTTTATACTGCGTCTGTTCTTGACTTATTCGTGCGATACGCTATTATCACTAAGATTCCAGTCCAAGTGTTTCTAAGTATGCTATATCTCTATATATCTGGGTGAAAATATTGTGAGATATGACCAAATGAGAACATGTTTTGATAGCATTTAAATCAACCACTACTTTTTTAATCTTCATGGTAATAACCTCAAAAGTTGTTGTTGCAAAAGAAAAAATCCCATAATCGTTTTAATGTCATCAGAAGAATTAAGCATATAAGCATGATTAATCCAAGGGTTCTATTGTGTGTGACAATTTACTTTCAAATAACGACAAAATCAGCAAGACCAACCTAGTGAGATATACTTCACACACACCAATTTAGTAACAAAACAACTAAGCATAATAAGTTTAACAGTGAACAGAAGTGTATAGATTATTTTCAGTCATTTTTTGTGCACACAAATAAACTGAAAATGTGCAACTGTTTAAATGTCAAAGATATTCAAAATGTATGAAGTCCGATTTTGAAAGTGTATATGAACATTTGAAAAAAATCACACACTTCAGATGATAAATCTGATTAGTGGCTTACAATAAAATTTACAAATAAATATAAAGTGAAATATAGCTTAAAACCAAGTTATTATCATGCAAGGAACTATCTTCTGAGGTGTTAACATCTGTGGTGGACCAAAAATGCATCAATAATGAAACGGTGATAAAGTTATTTCAAAATGAATACAAAAACAATGAATGAAAATCAAATATATAAAAGTTTACTTATAAAAGTAATATTGAACATTTCTTAGACTGTTTGCAGGCTGTGTCTTTCAGTTTTTTTTCAGTCTTGCAATCCATAATTATAAGAAATCACAAATACCGCCGATATATGTTATATCTATAATCTAAACTATGTATGCCAAGAATAATCGAACAATGAGAAGACCGTTATGAACTATATAGACAGATAAGTTATATTAGAGATCTATTCGCTTGGAAGCCGATTAAGTCAAAACGAGGGATGTTTGAGCAGCAGTGTATTTGAAAGCGATACTTGGTGTGTGACATGTAAGTTCAGAACAAAACAATGATGGGAAGATCAAGGTCGAATTTAAACAAAAATTTTACGGTCAATAACAGTGATTGCATAAATGAAATGGAATTACGAAGAATATGAAAAATAACCATAGTTATTTACAAAATAAGTATATGTTAAACACCTACACACACTGCCCTGAGACTTGTCAATATGTTTTTTCTGAAAAGATGTTTATTTAGGTAAAGATACTTCATTGATTTGAAATAGAACATCTGCAGAACTACATTGAGTTATAAAAAGTGTGTATCTCCTATCAAAAGTTTAAAAAGTAATTAATTCCCTTTAGAAAGTAATAACTTCTGATTGATCTGAATCATCTTCAAATCCTCAATATAATTCTTACTTAACAGTTGTCTCAATCCTTAGTTGAAAACTTCTTGAAATAATTGACATATAATGTGACAAGTGGTTGTGATTAGTTTAATTGTAAAATCCCTCACTTTAGTTTAAATAACTAACGTTCTAAATTATGCTATTTTAAATCCGTTGTTGAACTTTATTCGCTAATTCAATCTTTCATTATCTAACTAATAACTAACTATTGATACTAACAACAAAACTATTAGGGTGACTACTAAATGAAAATAATTATCGAAATTCTATTGAGAAGCTATTATACCGAGGGTTCAGCTGTTATCATCTATGGCAATAGATAACTCTCTTACCATGTCACAAGTAGAACTGTTGTGGGAAAAATATCCAACAAGTCAGTGGTTGAAGAGTGATACACTCATCATGTTCTTGAATGTGGTTGATTTGATTCCCAATGGAATTATAAGTGATTAAGGATGAAGACTTTCATACCATAATTAAACAGCTGTCTAGTTCCCAATAGTTTTTGATGGTTAAAGAGTGAAATTATGACAAATTGGACTAATCTTTATATTGAACCCAACGATACACTTCTTAGTTATGAACAATGTTAAATAAAATACTACAAATTAGATTATCAATTCATGATTTGAAATGATAACAACATCATATAAAAGCAGTTTTTGTAATAAGAACTAAAATCTTTCTCTATTAGTTTCTATTTTTGTATCATTTTTAAGTTACCTTTCGGATTACATAAATCACTGTAACCTGTAGTGTTGTCATCATCTGTTATCTGAACATATTATAAGTTATGTAGTTCAAGGAAACTTATTCATTCTTAATCTTCAAATGTTAGAAGAGGAGATTTAAGCAGATTCAAGTAGGTAAGTGTAAATTATTTGTTTCGTTCATAAAATACCTATATCACTTATTAGTGTTGTTAGGGTATTTAATACCGATGTGGTAAATCAGTGTAATTGTATACTCATTTTAGAATACAAATATTTGACTGTTGGTTAATGTGTGCTCAAAGGTGTGATTAATTCAAATGACTTAAATGTGAATCCTTTCATTATTCCTTGGTTTGGCTGCCTATTTATTGATCTGTCTGTTTATATGTTCCATTATTTTATTGATTTATAACTAAGTGAAACACACTGGCATTAACACCATAAGACAGTTTAACCTCTTTTCAATAGAATGCAGATTTGCTCCACGACATTGCAACTTCTGGATAGTCTATGACCAGTGTTGTTTCTATTTTAAAACAGTTGCTGGCAATTCTAAATGCCATTGTCAATATAAATCCAATTCATTTACAAAGAGGTATAATTCTGATGTTATTCCAGTCTTTTACTATTATTTTAGTTCAATTGTGTTCACTCAGTCCTAATATACTTTGGTTGTTTATTACTACTGTACATGCTAGTTCGTTCATGTACTTAAATACTTCAAGAATATTTCTATACCAGTTGTAAATTTATTTCTCTTCGGTCATCGAGTATGAAGACAACAAATATAGCAGTTTTACATTTTAACTAATTTTCTTTACTACGTAAAATAAAGGATATTAACTTCGACATTTTGTAAATGATTTTAAGATCTATTTTTATCTACAGAGTATGCAGGCAATTAACTAACAAAAATATAAAATCATAATTTGGCAACAGTAATTTTTTTTATATTTTTGCCTGATTAAAAACCCCATTTAGCCTCCTTTCCAACTCAGTTTAACATAACAAGTTTCTTTGAATAACTCTTTTCTACAAAACAAACAGGTAAAATTAACATGAATATCACTTTTTTTTGGTATAATGGCGACAGGATTTTGTTGGCATTTACAGACAATAAATAAGAATCAAAGAAAATACATTTAAAATCAATAAGGCAGTTTAATGATTCAGTCTCTATCAGCAAAATTCATCCGATTGTTTTGTTTGTTGTACAGTAAGTAATGAAGTGACTGGTCACAGTTGTCTATCGCTATGTTGTGCTCAATGTTCAATAAGTTAATTTTGTTTTAAATGTGTTACATTTGTTTTGTTTTTCATTTGTTGTGCACCATGAATAGGGTGTTGTTCAGCATTCATAAGACCTTCTCCAGTTGACCCGGTAGTTGGACTGCATAAAACATATTCAAATGCATCAGTTAAACGTTTAAATACAATACCAGTGATTGCTAGACCAATTATTATGTAAACAATTGATAGGACCGCAAGAAACACATCAGTTTCTGGTACTAAATCACCAAACCCAACAGTTGATATTGAAATAAATGCGAAATAAATTAAGTCTAAAATACTCCATTCTACTTCTTTTTGTCCAGCTATATAAGAATATATCCCAGCTCCAAATGCCAGATAGATTACGAATGTTAAAATGCATGGAAGTACCTAGATTAGAAAATAAAGTTACACTAATAGTTAGATAGTTTGCAAGAAAATAAATATATATAAATACGTTAAGAGAAGGAAAAATGTAACTCTGGAACTTGAATGAATATTCTTTAGATAATCGGGTTGATTTTTTTCACAACTTTAATAAATAAATATATAATTCTTTTACGATATTTTGATACTTAGTTTTGGTTGGTGACTTCCTTCTAGAACTTAATAATTATTGAAATCATGAACTAATTAATGTCAGACCATCATTGAAAACTTGAAATTGTCATCCCATTTATCTTTTTTTTGAAACCATGAATCGATCAATGTTAGACTGCCATTAGAAACCTGGAAGCACTGGATGGCCGTTTCGTCCTGGTGTGGGACTCCTCAGCAGGAGTCGTGGATGCGCACTGCTGAGGAGTCGCACACCAGGACGAAACGGCCATCCAGTGCTTCCAGGTTTCTAATGGCGGTCTAACATTGATCGATTCATGGTTTCAAAAAAACTTAACAATCTTCACAACAACCCCGTAATCTCATTTATCAATCAAAACTAATGGTCAGTTAACTATGCGAATAAATTGATCAGTTTTGTAGCTATTGACATTGATTTTGTTTTATTGTGATCTGATAGAAATAATTGTAGGAAGAGAAGAGGTTTGCAACTAACCGACTACTCTTGTGACTGAAAGTTATAGCTAGTTTTAAATGAATTCGTTACTGATCAACTATGTAGAAAAGGATAGTATAGAAAATAGAAAAATATGCTACGTCGTAATTGTTAAAACAATAAGGTAGCATAAGCCAGTAACTTTCATAATCCGTTTAGATAAATAAATTGTTGAATTAACGTTCAAGAAGTGTAACAGGTTTCTTTGATAATACAAATCAACCGATGAAAGCAATAATTAGGAGGTAACAAACTGTGATGTTAGATGAATTTAATTTATTCATGAAAAGTCACTGATTACTAGGCATCTTTCAGACAGATGATCAACAAAAAAATAATCAATAACTACACGGGCAGATTTTATTTCTAACCTTTCAGTTATCAATTAGTTAGTAATGGATTTCAGATTTTATGAAGTGGGCATGATTGCTGAAGAACCAGAAACAGATTGGAGCAGACTTATAGGATACAATTTGTTTTTGTGTCTATTGGACAGTATACATTTACAAACCATTTTGAAATCCACATTGGACTATCACACTGTCATGCAGTGGAATAACTAGTCGCTGACACTCATTGTTGATGTGATTCAGTGAACATTCAAAAATCTTAGTTCAAGTGATTCAATATATTTGTTGGAATTTCGAGGAACTTTGGAAACTGCAAACTACAAATTGAAATCAGTGATATAAGTCGATCTTCCCCTGTAATTTCTTAATTAAAATCATTCACTTTCTTTATTTAAAGCATCAAGATTGATTAAGAAATCATCTGCTATATTCATGAAGTGATGGTAACTATGTACTGAACGAAATAGTGAAATGAAGATCACAGTTCAGCTCTAATATGCTCATGGCAATTATGTCGATAGAAGGAGCAGCACTAAACAGAAGAATAAGAGTAGATGCTACTTACACAATAATAGAGTTTGCCGGCAGTTACATTAACTAAAACTGTTATTTCTATGGTAGTTCAACTTTCGTAAGAATCGTGTTGATCATGAACTTCGTCATCACTTAACAACACAGTGACTGTTACACTTCTCTTAATTCTAAACAAAGACATTTTGTCTTCATCTTAACTTCAGCTAATCTAAAAGATAAATCTTTCTCAGAATATTTATTATAGGGACTGAAAAAGCATAAAATTAACAATCAAAAATTTGACATACTACAAAGTTTTCTAATCACAATTTCAAAACTTACTCGAAAATCGAAAGTTGCATCAATTCTATGATATGCATCTCTTAATCCAACTGGAACTCCAGAAGGATCAAGTGTCATATAATAAATTGCTTTGGTCAGTCTGATAATAACATCTGATATTCGACTTATAAGCAAACTGCATAATGGTATGGTAATCATACCATAAATAATAGTTATTAATTTGCCAGTAACAGTGGATGGAAACACATTACCATAACCTGAGTTAGATAATAATAAAAACAGGTTTTCAATGTAAAACATGAATAATTCATTGAATAAAACACACTGCAACTTGATCAACAGAATCTGATCAGTATTAATAAACTAAGCAAACATGATTTTGGACACTATCCGGTTGCCTTAATAGTTCAGTGGCTATGTCTCAAACTAAAAGACTAAGTGACGAAGGTTCGTATTCCACAAAGAGGATCAACTACCTCATGATTTAAGATACCCCTTGATGACTAGTACCAACTAGCACGAAATCTAAGTTCAGGGCTTGCTGTCGACTACCTTCAACCAACTAACATAAATTTAAGGAAACTAATAGTCATCCGTAATTATATATCGTATATGTTACTTGTCTTACAGTCAATAAATTAGCATCACACAACACATAACTCGAGAAAAGGTTCATTTCAGAGCTCTGTTTAATATTAGTCTTTAAATCCTACATCTTTGAAGAAATACTTCACAGATTTAAAATAAACAATAGTAAATATGTATGAATCCTAATTACAACTAAACTGTTGATTTTAAAAGAATTTATGTAAGTACATGTAAAAATTAAAAGTACATGACGAAAGTCAAACTACTATGATCAATACCAAAGTCAAAAATAATAAACTTTTAACTCACATATAGGATATATATACAGATTGTAAAAAATAGTTATGATCACATGAAAAAGTACATGAATTATATCCGATATATTTCATACCTAAAGTAAAGTTGTTTTTACTTCGTTTCAGTAAACTAAGAAGTTAAATTGAACCTTGAAAATTATGCTGATACAAAATATCTTTCAGTTTCTCGTTTTTTTTAAAATTTATTCAGTGATTGTTGAGATTACCTTATGCCTTCATGGATGGATGGGATTCAATGGACATCATGTGAATGAAAGTGAACACTGAAGGCTATCAATATATGATCTTACTTTAAATTCGATAATCTCAAAACTATGAAAATGTCATTGAAAACAACGTCCGACATTATGATATTTTAATGTAAATCTTGTTAAATGTTCTTCAAGACAGTGTTTAAAAGAACATATAGTTATGTTTCACATTCAATTTCAGTTGAACTAAAAGTGTGTCAATTATTCCACACCATTACATCGACTAAACTATAAGAATGATAACAGGAAAATTATCTAGTCACAGTTGCTGTTAGAGTCTTTTGTGTTCCAAACCATCTTAACTTACTGGCAACTGTTGAAAAAGTCTACCGCAATATAACACCATATTGTACAAATCATCTGCTTGAAACTATCCAAATGACAGTAACTGTATCGCTAAAAGGTGACCATATTTGAAAGAGATTTCCTGAAACTTCAGCTAATAGCCACAACTGTTAGCATTCACTAATTCGTATGTGAAATAATACCTTATTAACTAAATTTGCTTGAAATTACATTCGTAACCTAGACAAACTGAAATAAAATGAGTTGATCATTTGACCCCAGACTCAGTTATTTAGCGACACTGTACATGAAATCATGTACGGATAGAAATGAATGGTAATTTCAAACTAAAGCGAAACGGCAATTCAATCCTATAAGTTTTTAATATTTCTCCAACTAATACTGGTATGTCATGAAAATTACTTGTAAACCGTTTAATCATCAAAATACTAAGCTACAGTGATCACTTTCATAGTTGGTGCAATCAATTGCTGAACGTTTGTGATCACCTGTTAAAAGAATTCAAAATTCACCATCGTTGGGCTTAACCTGAAAGATATTTAAGATCAAAACTACACTTGTTTTGACTTAGTATTTTTAAAGTTATCTAGTGTCAATGGAAAGAATTTTATATCGAAGTGACCGTGAAATCAAGTGATCTCAATCTGAATGTAAATTCAGCTTCATTTAATTCATTAAGAAGTTATACTCATCGATCACACCAACTGCTTATAAATTGTTTACGAAATAACGATTGTAACTTGTTGTTATAATGGATATTTTGTTATGTCTCACAACATTTATTAGTTAGCACAACTAAAGATATCATCCACAAAATGAAACTAATCTACATAATCCTTGTAATCACGTGCTTACAAGTGGCTGGCTTCAAGATAGATTTGGTGAGGTCATAAGTGTCGTATTTCAACCACTTTACTTACGCCAGTTACCCCCGATTGAGCATAGGCCACCGACCAGTATTCTCCAACCTACTCTGTCCTGGGCCTCCATTTCCGATTCCGTCAAATTTTTGTTCATTCTTGTTATTTCTGTCTCCATTTCTCGGTGTAATGTATTCGTTGGCCTTTCTCTTTTCCTTTGACCTAGACGGTTCCAAGTGAGGGTGTTCCTTAGGATGAAGTTGGGTGCTTTCCTCTATGTGTGTGCTGTCCACTTCCAGTTCTTCTTCCTTATTTCTTTCTTCACCGAAATCCGGCCTGCTTTCTCCCACAGTAGGTTGTTGCTGATAGTGTCTGGCCAACGGATCTGAAGTATTTTGCGTAGACAACTGTTAATGAATACTTGAATCTTCTGAATGATGGGTTTCTTAGTTCTCCAAGTTTCCGCTCCATACAGCAGAACTATCTTGACAATTGTATCGAAAATTTGGACTTTGGTGTCGGTTGATAGTGGTTTTGAGTTTCAGATGTTCTTCACTTGTAGAGGTACAGCCGTTACTTTTCCTGTCCGCGCATTCGAATCTGCATCAGATCAACCTTACTCGTCAATTATGCTGCCCAGATATGTAAAGGTGTTAACGTCCTCCAACGCATCTCCATCAAGTATGATTTGGTTGGCGCATGTTGTGTTGTATTGGATAATCTTGCTTTACCGTTTATGTATGTTGATGCTTGCTGCTGATAAGGCTGCTGCTACGCTGGTTGTCTTCTCTTGCATCTGTTGTTGCGGTTGCGATAGAAGAGACAGATCATCTGCGAAGTCTAAATCGTCAAGCTGCATCCTGGTTGACCACTGTATCCCGTGCTTCCCTCCAGATGATGACATGTTCATAATCCAGTAGGTCAGCAGGAGAGAAAGACAGGGTGAGAGTAAGCAACTTTGCCCGACACCAGTCTTCACCTATGGAGTTTAACAACCTTCAAAACACATTTGATTCCTTTTGTTAAGTCTACCACTAGAACGACTAATATACAATACAAACTTTTAGTGGTAAGACCAGTAGAACCGCACCCACAGGTCGCAAAGCAAAAGCCGGAACAATACAGAAGAAACCTTTACTCCAGTAAGTATCGAAATGCACTGAGATTACATATCATCCAATCACCTTATGCCATATCGACATTTTAGAAATTCAGTCAAGCAGTGATTTGGTAGAAACTCTTCTGCTTCTTGGAAACCTCTGGGAAACATCCCAATACCTTTATTGTTATAAATTATGCTGACTGTTCTGTAAATTTATCACAAAAATGCAAATTGATTTCATCGTTACAAAACTCGCATTAGGCTACTGATATTAAAAATTCTAATATAAATCTAACTCCAGTGTTTTCCACGTTCAAATGTTGCCTTTTAATCTTAGGTATTCAGAGACACCCGGTAATAAACCGTGAATTGGGGTTTCATACTAGTTGACACTCAATATCAAGATGCATACGTGACGTCCTCCCTACGTGACTCAAATCCGTATTACCAGATATTACAGTCAGTGACGTTAGCACTGAACTTATCTAATCAAGTTAAACTAGGCCAAAACTTTATCAGTCTAACTTACCAATAGTTGTAAATAGTGTGAAACAATAATAGATACTACCCCAAAGACTCCATTTTGTCGGTATATCTATAGTTAATTCATCTGTGCCAGATAACCATGCTTCGTATAATTTCTCACGATATCGATCCACTTGAGCAACTAATTTTGACCAATCAGCATTATCACCTTTTTTAGCTAATTGTTGAGCTAAGACAAAAATTTTTTGCCTTGTCTTAAGAAGAAAAAAAGAGATTATTTTATGCAAATGATTAACTGATGATATAAACAGAAAACTCGTCAAAACAATTATAACAATCATATTCAATATTGCTTTTTACCGATTTTAAACTTAATGACCAATGTAATTTAGAGAGGAATAAGTAGTTCGTTCGCCTTTCGTTTAATTTAAAGAACACTAGTTCAAATTAGTAATTAATCAGTTTCAGAAATTACAATGGAATCGAATACTTGCTATACTATCAATACGTATTGAAGTATGTAATTCCAACTGTTGACGATAAGCTAAATCAACTGAAATTTTTGTATATTGACGAATAGTTAACAATCTTACAATGTACAATCAAATAACCTATGTTATAGTAACTAATATTTGTTATTCATGTCTTGTATCCTAGTAACCATTAATCTATTTTCTTGATGATGTTGGGGATGTTAGATCCTCAGAACTCGCTTGATAAATGCCTTATTTTGGATTTCACGTTTGCGAGCATGGGCTGATCAGTTGACCCTGAGATTTCATTTCCCACCAGGAAAATCCTTGGCTGTGATTGGCTGCTGTGTATTTTAGTGTGCTATTTTTGTAACTGTCCCAAGATGTATAAATGTGTGCTTGATTGTATTGTGTTTGCTGGGTGTTTGTAGAATATACTTTCTACGCTTTCAAAGACTTCTGTCTACATCTTGGGATTCAAGGTAGACTATCTGGACTCTGGTAATTGTCTCGTTCGTGTTTATCGACTAAGGTGCACTCGTAATAGCTTCAAGCATACCTAGTGACGAACATAACAGATGACATCACTAATGAGAAATCCCTGAGTCAAAAAATTATAAAAGCCTTCACTTTCTCATATCTTTGATTAGAATACGATGAGTAGGATAAGTAATCACAAACTTATAGAATTGTACAAGCAAAATTCAAAATTACGATGTACAACTAATACTAAATCTCAACAAACACACAGTTGAAACAAATTGAGCTTGTCTATACTATACCACTGTGTTTATGTTGACCTTGGATCAATTTGATTTCAACATAGTGAATTCATACTTTTTTAATTCCTAATATAGAAATCTAATTCATTTTAAACATTTGATGAGAACCTAACTAAATGAAATGAATCCACGTTGTTATACCTGAATTGTCGCTTTTTTCCATTTATTTTTTCAACATAATAATGGAAACCAGCCGTACAGTATTGATTCCATGAGAAAAATTTTTCATAAAAGGATAAGACTAGAGATTAATAATAATTTTTTAAATTAAAGGTTTTCAATGAACTACTATGGTATATTTCAAATCTTCAAGATAAACTACCCTAATAGATCTATTTTACAACATTTTAGTGTTCGAAATAATTTTGATTTTGTTGATTTCTATGTAATTTATTTGTAAAAGTAGTTTACAATGAAAGTCATTCATTTTAAAAACTATAATACATGTAAATTTTGATTTTGGTTCAAAGTACTGTTTGACAATTATTGGAAACATTTAAGTGTAAAATAATGTCCAATTGGAAAACAATCAGAATTATTGATTTGTTATTAAACACTGAATATAACTAAACGACCAATCACATTTTATGACCTAGACCATAATTACAATTATTAAACCAATCGTATTATTTAGAAACATGTTAGAAATATTCAAACATTGAAAACACTAAAAACTGAACAGAAACTGTAGAAGTAATCTTCAGTATATATATATATATATATACACTTATAAACTATTCGGTTGTTCAGTTAGCATAGGCAACGAATCATTGTACTCGTTCTACCATCCTGCCGTATGAACGGAGACAGGTTTAGAGCGAAACATACCATAGTTTATCGCTGTCTCAGAAATCATCGGATTACATTTTAGGACTGAAAAGATATTTTATTAATAATCCATACCCTTGTATTTTGACGAAAATAAATACGAATCCTCGTACAAAACTGATTATAAACTTTGGTGACAGAGCAGAACAGATTAGCTTTGACAAAGTTAACATTAGTCTGTCTCTAAAATTTTCGTGAAACGATTAAACTTGTAAGACTAACCCTCTTAGAAATGAAGGAGTCAATATCAGGAACTAAAATATCATTTAAAAATGACAGTCGTTAGTTGTTTATGTACTAAGTCGACCATAAATCTTTCATATCAAGGGAGTTGAGAACAAATCGACAACGTTGATAATTGATACTATATTTATATACTATCTGCATTATTTCCCTGAACATACAGACGATCATTTTCATTGTTCCAGTTATCTTTTTAAAATTTGTAAAGAAATTCATTTTCTTTATCTTAAAACTTTTCAATTACCTCTGCAGTCTGAAGAATAATTTCCTGTTAATGGGCTCGAAGAGTCTATGAACGGGCACAACTGAGGTGACCTGAATTAAGACAAAACACTCGTTCACCGCCTGGTTTTCTGAGCAGAGTTAGTCCTTAGTGTGAGACTATGAATCTGGTTTTAATTAAAATGAAATCTAGATAAGTGAAGTGCTTTTTTAACTCAGCAAAACTGTTACTTGGTGTCTTCGCTTTCTGTTCACATTTCTCAGTCTTAAGACCATTAAATATATCTTAAAATTTATTTTAATGTATTCAAAATGTGACTGAATGACAGATCTTAGGGTTTTAAGTCTGATATTGTGTAGGGTTTTGAGCTCTCGTTCACGTGGATATGTTTCGTTGATATTAGAAACTCTAAAGTTTCACAATTTACAGCCTTATTACTAGTCTATATATACCGGAAAGTATCCTTCTCGTACCATAGTTTCATGTAGCGCCTTTCCTTTATCCTTGATTGTATGTCTGCATATATATTAAATGAATTCATTATCAAATCTTGAGTCTCAATGAGCTAAATTAGAAACTGTGAACCTTTCTTTTTCGTAAATCAATATTTCAACAAGCTTGTTTGTTTGGAATAAATTGAGTTAATCGGATATATATATTGATACTATCGTCATTTATCAACACAATCAATTAAGATAACTAGGCAGCTTATTTACAATAGAAAATCAAAGAATCCTCAACACTAAATAGTATAGAGATAATAATATTAGGGAGGCTGAAAAACATGTTACGAAACATTGATTTATTCAATGATATCACATTTATCCAACTACTGTTCACTTTATTCCAATTATCCATGAAAAGCTTCAAGATTAAAAGTTTTCAACTGCCTCGTTGTTTCACAATTTTTGTCGGCTTCTCATTTTGAGAATAAAGTGAAATCATGAGTCATACAAGTAAAGATGATCAAGTTTGGTGATACACTTTTGGACGATCATTGTGTACTGAAAAGGTGCAGTGATATTGTGTACCACCCACGTAATATTGTCATACATGACCTACACAATCCATCAACCATTCAAGAGTTCTCAAGGAGAAGGCAATATTCACAGTTGATGAGTCGGAAGAAAATTCATTGTAGACATTACTATAAATATCGTGAATCACATACAGTTCAGTCTTTATATATATATATATATATATATATATATATATACATATCTGAAATTAGTCTCACCTTAGATACATGTGTCCTGGAACGCTCTTCATATGGACCTTCAATCTTCTGGAATAAAAATGCACCCAGCACAGTTACTAGCGCTAATATCAATATCAGACCAGGTAATGACCTCATGAATTGTACTAAATAACATTTTTTGAAAAAGAAAGGATGTTAAAGAAGTAAGTCAAACATTGTGGTAATATCAAATCAGAATAAGGATATATGTATTTGCAAATTGAAATGATTATCGTCTTCAAAATTGTTATTAAAATAATATGATGAAGTTTAAGGGGTTTATTTACAGTTTGATGGATCTATACCGATTGATTGTTATCAGTATTGTATGGTTCTTATAATCTGTTGGCCAATGAGTGAAGAACAGTATACTATGTGTATAGTCATTTAATCTTGATTGAGTTCTGTCGTCCAAGTTTTAATGAGACCATTACATTATGTGGCTCAATATTGTGTGCAATACATCAAAATCTTAGACTGATAGAAATAATCGTCATGAGATCCTGGACCTAGTTTTTGTGCTAATTAGGACTGGAATATCACAGCAACAATCAGTTACCTATAGATTGAAGGTACGCCTTGCTGACCACTACCGATTAGCCCGAAAGCATACTCCAGGGTTTCCTGCTTACGACTTTCTACCATCTTACATATAGGTCTCATGATTGTCAACTTTTTTTCCTTGTATTTATTGATCTCCCATCAGTATTAAGACTTTTTGAACCTCGAACATTTCTACGTATGAGATATTTAAACTCTATTTCTCTTTTTTTTCTTATATCTTGGTACTAATAACTATACAAGATGCTTCACAGACAATAATTAAATGTTCACATCTGAAAATATACTTAACAGTTTAATAGATGAGAGAATTAACATTGAATAGGTAAAATCTAAGTACTTGACTTTTAAGCTCTAAAATACAAGAAAGAAACCCAGTTGAGTACTATATCATTACAAAATAAATGCAATAAGCGATATAGTTTAAGGCATATACCACTGGTTATAATGTTTGACTTTTATATCAGTCTAACCACCTTATAATTTAAGATGTTGCGTAAGTGACTTCATGGAATAATTAAATAATTCGCTATAGTTTCTAGATGTCAGTTTTTCATCCGAAATGTGAACTAATAATTATAGAGCATCAATGCTAAGTGCTATCAGACATATGTGTGTGTAAATTACATGAAACTTCTGAAAAATATTGAGGTTATTAAGAACATAAAAATCAATGTCTTGTGTGGAATTCGATCATTATTACAGATACTACTTTCAATACTCCGTATTCAAGTATAAGATTTTGATCAGTCAGTGCTAATTTAGTTTCTAAACCAAACAATAGTGTCAATGTAGAATACTAGTAAATTTGTCTGTATGTAAACTCCCATACAGAAAGAATTCTCACAGATATCTACTACCTGAGTCATACTGAAATTCAAGAATCTTCAGCTGTTCTTTACTATATACCACATATTATATCAAGACAAAATTCACATCTATGTAACCTGTACTCATTAACTGTCGACACTTCTTAGTTTACCTACTTGAGATATATACAAGAACTAATAATGCCAATTTTAATTGCATTTTGCTTCGAATCTATCGATCTTAGTTTCTGAGTCCCAGTTATTTTTTTTCATTGTCAGTGATACATTACAGGTATTACGCTCCAGTAGTAGACCAGTCATTCATTCTAAATATAAGTAAATCTGACTGAGTCAAACCCTCATTCTCAAAAACGTTTCACGCTTAAACTAGTGTATCCAATCATCAATCACATTCATACATTGAGGTATATTCTCAAAATAGGCAGTAATAAAACCCTACTGCTTTTTATCAGTAGATTCAAATTAACAATAGATTTCTTAATACAAACGATTATCTGCAAACCAATTAGATTAATTGTCCTAATTTAAAAGACTAATCAATAACCCAAGTTTTAATTCTTGTGTATGGGTATGAGTTTTAGCTGAATGATAAGTAATTCTTACTGACGAATGTGCATCTAAATTATAACTCAGGAAATTCAATTAAACCAATATTTTGTTATAATCATTACAATTAAACCCGTCGTCATGTGATGATGAAAGTGATATCTACCAAATGTAAATGCACTAAGTTGCAAATAGTTTTTCATAGGAATTCTTATTCGTACTTGCATTTATCATCAAAACGTATTGATGGAGAAGTGCATAATGTTCTAGGGTATAATATTTACTCTACCATTTAGTTCAGATAATTTCTTTCAATCTGAATTAAATCATACGACATTATATAGTAACTTCAAAATGTGAAACAACTTTGAACACTGATTGATTACCATACATCATTCAAGTTATTTTCATGAAAACAAATGTTTCTAACGTTAACAGCAAAAAAAATTAAATTAAACTGTAATTGTAATTGTTGAATGACATTTTAATGAATGATAAAAATTTCTAGAATCTGTCAATAGATATGATTGGAATGTTTACCCTTACAGAGACTATTCTACTTCGATAACTGACAAGCAAAATTGTTGGAAGCCTAAAATATTTCTTATTATATTTAAATGAAATTCATATTAGGCTGGTTTATTGTTCCTATCAAAATAATGGCTGATTTAACAGCATAATTTGTTACGCAATCATAGTTTTTAAAGTAAACGGAAATACATATATATAAAAAATTTTCAACTTACCTACTTTGTTCATTCAAAGTAATCAAAACCTTTCCTTCCTTCAAAAGGTTTTGATTTATCAATGGTAATACAAAATGTGCCAATATTCATTAAGCACCAACATCTTTCTTGGTGACCTTGAAAGTCAACCAATCGGCTCATAGTGATATGACCTTATGATGAAAAACAAGCCTATCATTTTAAAAGGGAATGTAAAAAAGAATAACTGGTAATAAGATAGTGGGAGTGAAAACTAATTCTAGAAAAATCGTTTAATCATAATACAGATACACAGGATATGTGTAAAATATACTGAATAAGATATGTAATAAGCATGAAAAAAAATTGGATTTTTTGTAATTCAACTAGCTAATCGTTTTTTTATTTCATTTAGTGATTGTACATCTGTCTAGTATATAATGAGCTAAATAAGGCTATTTTAAATAAGTCTAAAAATCTAAAGTTTAAAATTTAATGAGACTATTTGTAAAGTATTAACACAATATTGGAAAAAATTCTCTAAATTAAACAGTAATTGTTCTATGTCAAATACTTTTGCTATTTGTACAATTTATTTCTCATATGGTTTAGCCTAATAATAGTGTTGTGATCATTTAGTTAGTGAATCAATAATCACCGGTTCTCAATATCGATCATCAAATATGACTTAACGGATACCAGTGAATACATATCAACATTTTCTATGTTGTATTTGATCAAAATGAATCACAGACATAAAAAATAGTCAATATTTCATTTTCAATGATTATTGAACTAATGTTCAATTAAATGATATTGAAGAAGATATGCATTTTTGTCAGTTTTACCCATAGTAAGTAAACAAATGAAATGAACAACTTTAAATTTTAATAGTTAATATTAAATTGTTAAACTTTCACCACCACTCTAGATAATATCATCAGCCTGTAGTACAAGTAGAAGTGGGCTTTATTTATTTATGTTCTAAGCTCTAAATAAATCAACTCACTGTAGTGGAAATAAATGTGATCTTCAGTTTACAAATCTGATCAACACTGAACACGTATAGGTTTTGAAAATTTTAAATATCAAATTATAATGATAGTGTTAGGTTCGTCACTAGGTATGCTTGAAATTATTACAGGTTCACCTCAGTCGATAAACGCGAACGAGACAATGAACCAGCGTCCAGGTAGGCTAACTTGATCCAAAAACGGCAAAAGAGTAGTTTTGATAAGCGTAGAAAGTATATTCTATAAACATCCAGCAAGCACAATACAATCAAACGCAAAAATCTCGTTTATTTAAACATCATAGAAACGTCCTTGGGACAGTCACACTAAAATACACAGCAACCAATCACAGCTAAAGATTTTCCTTGTGGGAAATGAATTCTCAAGGTGAACTGATCAGACCATGCTCGGAAACATAAAATCCGAAATTAAGGCATTTATCAAGAGAGTTCTGGGGATCTAACGTCTCCAACAGATAGTAAAACGTTTTGATTCGAATCTCTAGTGAATAAATAATCAGTGTGTTTAGAGGTAATAAAAGCGGTTACTGCAACGTAATACATTCTCATTTAAATGGCATTCTTAACACATATTACACTCAGATATAACATAACAATGAATATATTTATGATAACTGATAAGGATGCCCTACAAATAAAATTTCTAAAATAGAACAATGAAACTTCATGAGATTCAAATTTATTGTACAACTGTTCATAAATCATTACGAAACTAATAATGTAATCAAAAGTACAAAGATTTTTATAAATTACTTCATAGAACTTACTATCTTATTTCTAATTAAGTTTAGCAAGTGGTTGATATGTCACTTGAACACCTAAATATTGATTTCCTAACGACCTCCTAGTCTCCAAAAATCTACTTCCATTCTTCAAATTTGAGCAGGAAGGAACAAAGAAACACTACTTCAAGAGTGGTAAGTACGGGGTTGGACCAATCTGAATCGAAAGTTGGATTTTCGAAAATAAACAATTTTTGCCTAATATCATATGGAATGAGAGAAAGAAATAACTTTTTTTTCGTGCTTATAACGTTAAAAATGAAGAATAAAAATTAAGTTTTTCCACTATGGAATGAATATGATAATTTTTAATTTATGAAACACTCGACTATTACTCTAGTCAAGGCATAAAACGAGCAAATAAATCCTTTTACAATATTCTCAACTTAAACTCTTCATCTTCATCTGCAACGTGAGTCTTGAAATCCTTAATCATAAAAAGAAGCATACTGGAAGTTCTTAAAAATCTTTCTAGATTCTTATAAATGCTTGAGAAGACGGTTCTTCTTTATCCATATGAAGGGTTGCTTCTTAGATTCACATCTCTTTAATTATTCAAAATCTCCTTTCCATAATTTATTGTTATCTGGAAGGCTGGTTTATGTTTAAAAAGTAAAGGTATTTACAGTATGATGTGTAAACTTGAAGCTCGACTGCAGTCCTTAAAAGGCTACTACCAGTCTCAAGCCCAGACAAAGGAGGGTTCGCCATCAGATTGGCAGCATCATTTCGTGAAACACATCAATACGAAGTTCATAAAGACCATGCTGGACTTGAGAATAAAGAGGACCTGACACAGCTTCACATCACCACCCTGTTGTGGCCAATATGATACTGAAACTCAAGAAGCACTGGACAGCTGGTCGAACAGCATCACAAAAGTTTAATACGGACTTTCTTTGGAGTACTGGCAAACTTGATCAATTCAAGACAGCTCCTAACAATAAGTTCCAGGCTTTTCAAGATCTATTGAATGCAAGGTAAACTATCGAGAAGAACAACTGGGTAAGATTCAGCGAAATAAATACGACAAGACGCTAATCAACAACAGCCGAAAAAGAGGAGCAGAGAAAGTCAAGGCATAGGTCAAATACTAAGAAGCAAACAATGAAGTGAGGGGGAAGTTTCAAAACGGAAATATGTAAAAGACCTAAGATTGACAGTGAAAAAGCTTCATAGGAAGGAAACATCAGACAGTCATACGATACAGTGAAGAATCTGACTGGTAAACACAGTCTACCAGAACGACCATTCAGGAATGATGGAGGCTTACCAATCATCGACATCCAAGAACAGTGAAAAAGGTAGGTATAGCATTCTGAATAACTGTTGAATGGACCAACCCCACTGAACCCACCCAACATCGATGCAGCACATACAGACCTTCAAATTGATGTTGATCCACGAACAATAGAAGAAATCAGAATGGTCATTAGACAAATTAACAGTGACGAAACAACATGACCAAACAGCATGCCAGCTGAGGTATAGTAAGCAAACAGAGTTGTGAATGAAAAGGTGCTCTACACTTTATTCAGCAAGATTAGGGAGGAAGAACCATTACCAACAAACTGGAAAGAAGAACACCAAATCAAGATACCAAAAGAGAGAGATAATATAAAATATGGGAACTAAATAAGCACTATTCCACTACCAATACCAGGAAAATTCTTCAAAAGGGTGTTGTGTAGACAGAATGAAGGACTATGTAGATACCCAACTTCGATATCAACAGGCTGGATTTCGTGCGTATCGATGTGTAACGACCGAACTGCAACATTACGGATGATTGGGGAACAATCAAGTGAATGGAATTCACCACTTTAAATAAACCTCATTGGCTATGAGAAATCCTTTCGGCAGCATGGACAGGTTGGCACCATGAAGGCTCCTTTGACACCTCATCGTGCCTGAGAAGACAGTCAACATCATAAGGAATTTTCAAGATGGATTGAACTGTAAGACCGTGCATAGAGGATAGCTCACAGACTCGTCCGAGGTGAAGACTGGTGTCAGACAAGGTTGTTTACCCTCACCCTTTCTCTTTCTCCTGGTTAATGACTGAATTATCATGACCTCAGAAGCCCAGAAAAAACACGGAATACAGTCAACAGCTAGCATTATGATAGACAATCTAGACTTCGCAGATGGTCTGGCTCTTCTGTTACACACACAACAACAAATGCAAGGAAAGGCGACCTGTGTAGCAGCATCCTTTGCAGCAGTAGGTCTCAACATACATAAAGGAAAAAGCGAAATTCTCTGATGCAACACAACATGCACCAACCAAATCACTCTTGATGGAGATGCCTTGGAGGACGTTAACACCTTTACATATCTTGGCAGCATCATCCACAAACAAGGTGGATCCGATGCAGATGTGAGGGCGTGGATCGGCAAAGCAAGGGCTGCATTTCTACAGTTGAAAAATAACTGGAACTCCAAACAACTTTCAACCAAAACCAAAATCAGGATTTTCAATGCAAATTTCAAGGCAGTTCTACTGTATGGAGCGGAAACTTTGAGAACTACCAAAGCCATTATCCAGCAGATACAAGTGTTAATAACAGTTGTCCACGCAAAATACTTCGTATTCGTTGGCCAGACACCATCAGCAACAACGTACTGTGGGAGAGAACAAAGCAGATTCGAGTGGAGGAGGAAATCAGGAAAAAGCGGTGGAAGTGGATAGGACACACACTACGAAAAGCACCCTTAACCCTCAAGCAAGATCCTTTGATGCAGCACAACATGCACCAACAAAATCACACTTGACGGAGAAGCTTTAGAAGATGTGGAAGTGTTTACGTACCTAGGTAGCAGCATTGATGAGCAAGCTTGATCTGATGCATATGTGAATGAATGGATTAGCAGAACAGGGGCAGTATTTCAACTTTTGGAAAACATCTGAAACTCAAAACAACCTTCAACCAACATCTAAGTCACAATTTTCAATATAAACGTTAACACAGTTTTACTGTATGAAGCGGTAACTTGGAGAATCATGCAAGCCGTCTTACACAAAATACATGCATTCATCAACAGCTGTCTACGCAATATATTGTAGATCCGTTGACCAGACACCAACAGCAACAGCCTATTGGGAGAGACAACAGATCAGCTTCCAGATGAGGAAGAAATTAGGATAAAGCGCTAGGAGTGAATAGAACACATATTGAGGAAAGCACCAGACTGCATCACAAGGCACGCCCTCATTTAGAATCCTCAAAGCCAAAGGGAAAGTGATAAATCATGAAATACATTACGCCCAGAAGTGTAGGTAAACATGAAAAGAACGAATA